TGCTAGTTACAAGCAGTCACACAAAAGAGCTTTTCCTTCATTTTTTTTTTCCTCTGTAAAAAGCAAACAAGAGCCAGGTACTGCACGCACTAAAATCACTACAGAACTCCAACAAAGTGATTTTGAGCAAGGAAATTACTATGTTGGACAGGATTGGATTTAATTTTGATTTATGCTAGACTAATGAGGTAATCTTGGGTCAGAGCTAGGTCAGAAAAAAGACCAGAAAATATCTAGTCCTTGACTCAACTCTAATTAATATAAATTTTACCTAAGCAGGAATAAAACAATTTGACTTAGTTGAAAAGTACTATAGCCATTCCCTTGATTTCCTGGCTTTATTTTTTCTTCGACAGTTACTCAGTTTTCTGACTCTGTATAGCACAGGTAGCACCACACTTCACCTTCAGTCAAACACCTGCCATCACTTCTGCTCCAAGCACAGGGAAACAGGCTGGAAGTGTTATGGTCTTCAATTTTACAAAAAGAGTTCTACTGAACAGTAAGACTACAATTGCATGAAGCTTTTAACTACTTCAGAATTCACGGCGGGGTAATACCTTATCCTCAGAAACACAGCTAAATATTCACTATTCACTATCACTATGTCAATATTCACTATCTTTAAACTAATAAACTATAAATTGGTTATAGACAAATCATGTCTTCATCAGTTGTTCCTCTCCTGTCCTTCCCAGAAGCTCATGTCAACTCCAGTTATCAGAATTTGTGACCGTTATCATAATATCTGTACATCAGAAGTAATCTCTGCTCATAAGGAAAAATTACATTTCACATAAAAGCAATAAGTTGAATAACACAGCAGGATTTTCAAGGAAGTATTTTAATTGATAACAGACAGGATTGCTTCTTTCTGAGATGCAAGTTCAGCATTAATATTTAAAGTCACTACAACAACTTTATAACTTCAGGAAAATCTTGTACTCTAGAGCCAAATCTGTAGTAGTGTTGCACAGGCTTAAAGAGTACAGGAATAGTCTAAGCATTTTTCTAGGTATAAAGAACAGAACTGTGGTAACAAGAGAGTGTACACATAGTGACTCTTGGATAGCCTTCTGCATGTATTGACAAAAACACTGGCATTCCTTCTGCATTACAGCTACTGGACTAGTAATGCAGCAAAATATTTCTGAAACAACCAAGTTCTGAGGACACATTGTCGCATAAATATTGCAGTATTTCAGTTGCAGTAATTCATTACTTCATTACTATCACAATCTTAGTTATTCCTTGCATCTCATGATCCTCAGGTGGATTACACAGCTAAATGAAAACTTAATTCAAGCTTATTTCAGTTAAAATGCTCAATTTCTCAACAAAGAAACCATAAGAAACCATTTAAGATTGTTGCTTTTGAATACTTTTATGTCAGGCATGTACAACAGAAAACTTGAGACATCTCATCACAAAACACTGTGTTACTAGCAAAATCTTTAAGAACTTTGTTTTTGCTGAGATGAAAAAAAGAACTTACTCAACAAAACAAAGCCCTTTTCATTTGCTTCTCATTTTAGCAATGCCTTTTCAAAGCATGAATGACTGCAATAAACTATTACTTTTTATAAGAAACCACACCTATTCAGTTGCTACAGAAGTATTAATGTGGTGACAAGAAATATTACAAAATCAATTTTACTTTGAATAATAAGTGCTCCATACATAACACTAGAGTTTCAGTACTTTCGCTAATAAAAGTTGTTTTATGCTTTTAAATTTCTAAACATTTGAAGATCTACAAAATACATCACACGATCTGCACAATACATATATATTTCATTAGTGTTATTAGATGAGAGAACGATCTTATAGTTCTAGCAGTCCAGATGTCTTTGTATACATTCCTCAGCAAAGGATGCGTTTCAAAATCTAAAAACTTAACCAAATAAGTCAGTTACTACAAAAGACAAGGAGGATGACAGCATCCAGGTAGAATGAGCATCACAATGATGTGGAGAGTATGGAAAAAACCTGCCTTTGGTCTGCTTACGCAAGAGCTGGGTACTCCCAAAGCTCCTCACCAGTCTAACAGTTACAGCAGCAACCACTTAAATATCACTGTTAAAGGACTACTAAACTTTAGAAAAATTGGATACCTGCATGGATAAAGGTAAGTGACAGCCTTCTGTCTCCCTATGAAATTAGTAAGGCTTCTATTATGAATATCAACAGGCTTGTGATTTCAATTGCATGGTTGACAAGTACATCTGAGAATAGATTCATCTGAGTGTTATCTGAGCTGATCTAGGTCCTGGATACATGCCCAGACATTTATGGTGTCTGGTTTAAGTTTTTATTATTATGCAATATTCTTGGTTGGTGATGACATAAAGATTTTAACCAAGTTAATCTTTCGGGATCAACGCACTCAGCTACTTCACTTTTAAATTGAAGGATTTTTGGCCAACACATACTGAATATATAGAAAAATATTCATGAGAGAAATGATATTTAGGATCATACCTCCTTTTTCTTTCACGTCATTCACATGATTAACTGCTAGGTGTTGACTCAATTATTCCTAATCTGGATCAATCAGTTATATGGCCTGTTTTATGTCCTATTTAATGAACCTTCCGAACGGAAATTAGGGAACTCACTTTCTTTAACTTATATTTGTGACTTTCTATTCTTCCAGTCAACTTCAGAATATTTTCTAAAACTTAATTTTAAAAGATTCAGCCATGGAATATGAAGTAGATACTACTCACAAATGATACTATTTCTTACATTAAGTTATATTACATGTTAAACATTTCAGAATTTGTTACAAACAATGTAAATAGCTTCCTGAAGGAGTCTGGATGGAAAATGTGTTTTACAAGTTTGTTAAATAACTCTACCATTAAAATCATGTAACGTGCACTGGCAAAACCATAGAAGGCTGGACTAATTTAAAAGTGCGAAAGAAATGGAATTTTAAGCAATAAACCCTTCCCACAGGTGCATTTTCCTACTGCTTTCACTCAAATCCATTTGAAACAGGCTAATGCTAAAGCAAAATAAGTCAATCAAACTGAAATAAGAGTGGGTTGCACTGACTTAACTATAACAGTGCTAATCTGTGTGTGAGTGAAATCTGTTACGTCTGGTTTCTGTAATAAGATCGAATGTACGTAGGTCATTCTGTAAGTAATGCCTCCTAATTAACTTCTTTTGTACGACTTTTAGTTTCAATTTTTTAGTATTTAGATATTTTATGTGAAAGTTGCTAAAACAGCTGAAGAGTCATAGAACTCCAATTACTAAAAACAGATACATGCCTAAATTTCTTATGGTTTCGAGTATGTAGAATAAAATTCAACTTCAGAGAGAGGCAAGGTGCCAGCAAATTACACACTTTCATTAGAAGGGTGGGAAAAAAGGCAGGGCTAATGTACAAGAGAAGAGAGTGCAGCATTCAAACAAAAAAAACTGGTATTCGCTCTGCATTTACTCAAACGTCTTAGCATTTCCAGGAACACTACTTCTTTAAAATCATAAAATCTAAACATTTCTAATAAGATTATCACCAAACTACTTGCTATGTCTTTAATAATACAATTACTTATAATGCATTTCATACACATGCTTTTATTCATGTCAGCACTCTGTCACTCCCTCTAGTGGGTAAGAAATGCAGCTTAAATGGAAATACCAAATTTTCATACAAGGGCAGCTACACCAAAAGAAAGAACACTGGCTAGAACACAAGTCTTCCATCACAGCAATAAAGAGAGCCAATAATTCATTGTATTAGAAAATGTATTTTCTAGCCCTGTTGTTTACTTTGCTGTCTCAGGTTTCCAGTTATAAAGAAAAGAACTGCAATGAATGGAAATACTGTCGCAGCAAAAAATACATTTATTTCTAGCTTACTTTCATTTCCAGCAGCATGGTAGCTTTAGTTCTCAGCAAAAATGCAAGCCTTGCCAGCCAACAGTTATTTTCCACATATTTTCAGATGCGATTTCCTTTGAATATACAGGCTGCTTATTAAGCTCAAATAGTATCAAATCCTGTGTCTTCTCCTACCAAATAATTTGATCTGTTTCATTTGAAAGTTTGACAATTCCAACACTGGATGGCTTTAAGTTTACAAGACTCATAATTACATAATGGAAGGAGACAAATGAAAGTTAACTGCATCCTTGATTTTTTTTTTTTCTGCTATATGTATACAAAAAATCTGTATATGTAACGGAAATATAGAATACTGCCAAAAGGAAACTAAACTGGAAGAACAGGTCAATAGAAAAAAAAGTGTTATATGCATTTTTCTGTATATGTTACTCTCTAATGCATATATCCAAATAACTTACCTAGAGAAAAAAAGCATCAGTTTGCTCTATATGGTGCTAATTTCTTTTCCATAGGAACAACTTTCCATCCATAGATATATTTTAGTCTTATTAATTGATTTAAGTCACAAACTGATCCTACGGTATAAGATGCCTCAAGCAAAGGATCGTCACGCTCATTTACAGTACATTAAGGTATACTAAGAATTAACATATCAAAACTTGAACTGAAATTATTTGATATTTATTAGATTATTGTAATTTAGAACAATGAGTAAATGGTACACTGAACCTTACTGTACAGCAAATGACTGGCAATTACGTTACTTGAAAGACTGTTGCCAGAACAGAATTGTTAAGTAACACATTTCTAAGAAAGTGACATTAAAAAAAAAAAGACAAAAGCATATATTCTGCACCAAAATCTAATGCTGCTGTCATCAACAACCCAACAAAAGCTAGAGCTACCTAAAATGGAAATGAAAATGTAATGTATGGAAATATTCTCTTATAAAATCTCCTTAGGCTTCACATGTATTAATGTATTAGTTTGCAAACATTAAGATCAAAGGCAAAGCAACAAATACATCCTAAAAAGTTTTTAGTCAGATTTTTATTAACGATATACAAGTAGCAAGGCATAAAAAATTAATATGTTCAAGCCTTGAAATGTCAAGTGTAATGATCTCTAGCTCTGCTTACCTCCTTTGCTTTTTGTTTCAGTCTAGCTTGCTCTGGGTCCTCTTGCCTTGAGCGACTCTACATGTTAAAAAAAAAAATGGGGAAAAAAGGTTAACAGATGGTTTAAGAACCCCTCATCTGTTGCAGTAAGTTAAAAGATAGCAAAGAAAGAGGAAGAAGATACAAGGTGTCAAATATGGGATACTTAAATTCACAGGGGGGCAATTTCAAATGCACAGGCCTCACCAAAAAGACTGTTAAATATTCAGACATTTAAATTTAAAAACAAACAAAACCAGCACCTCTATGTATCTTTCTAATTCTAAAGTTTCCATACAGATTTAGATTTCCATTACTTAATACAAACAAATTAAAGTGTCTGAGAGCAGGACTGGCACCTTTTCCCAATATCTGATCTTTTTAATTTAATTGTTAGTGAGTGAGGGAGTTATTTTAAAATAATTTACTGTTTGCAACTATTTTTTTTTTTCAGCTGTTGGCAGATAATGTGCTAGAAACAGTTGTAATGTTATCCTTCTAAACAACAAACCTTCAGAAATAAAGACAATATAATTTGTATGAAACTACAGAGGTAGATATACATGCATTATTATGCTTCTTTAATTTCACAATTTGTCAGTATTTAGAAGCTCCACACACACACACACAAAGTAACTGTTGTCCCAGGTACTTGAAAGATTTTATTGTTTTATTTCAGTCTTTGTTTCAGATTCAAATTGATGCTGTTTAACTCCTAAAAAAACACTTTATTTGCTCTCTCCTTTTTCTGCCTCTCAAGGTTGAAGACAAACCTGAAACTTGAGAAGAGTATTAAACTCTAAACCTATACATACTCAGTGTTTTTTTTTAATTTGTTTGAATTTTTCATAATATATTATTTTCACAAGTGACAAATACATGAACCAAACCAGCTGAAGATACATTTTAAGGGTAGCAGGATGTGATATTGTGGACACACCTGGAGAGTCTCGTTATCATTTAAGAGTGAGAGTAACTCACTCTTAAATGATTTCTTACCCTTTTTCTTGTGCATTTATTTATTTCTATTTGAGATTATATTTTTTCTGCTAATATGGCACACACATACAACACAAATGGTAAAGAAAGCTCAAATTAAACAACGAGGAAATTTTTAGAAAATGTGCACAGTGCAAGACTCAAATGTGTTAGCTGCATTTTCCAATGCTACCTACCAGGGACTTTGTGCCTGTTAACATAAAAGATAGTTTGACAGGATAGTGTTTGTAGTAAAGCAATGAGATATCAAAAACTGTAATAGCTGATGACTGAATTAGACTCTTGTGTTATAGTTATGCCAACAAAGAAAGAAACAACTTTATGTAGACAGGTTCCTTTGAAGTGTTGTGGTCAGACAAAAAGAAAAATGCAGACAACCTGATCTAGTTACTGTTTAAAGAACAAAAAGACACATTAATTAAACACACAGATATGCCAGAGAGCTGGGACTCTATTTAGAAGAGCAATTACTTGGAACTTGACTATGTTATACCTATTCAGGGTGGGGGGAGATCGATAAGTCCGTCTCCTAGAGAAGAAACTCCAGTATTTAAGATTTAGGCTGAATTAGGTCCTTGCTCTGTCATTTTCTGATGACAGTTGAATCACTGTGTGCCTCAGTTTCTCGAGTGTGATGTTTGGGAAATCAGCTTTAGTTCTTTCATGACTTTTTGATGATAAATTTATAGAAGTACAATGAACTTCTGAATCTCGCAGAGAAGGGAGTACAGAAATACAAAGTGTATTCATACTACTACATGAAGCTGAATCATTTGCCAAATGCAAAGCACAAGTTAAAAGCATTTCAGCTGAAGGAGAAAGCATGGAGTCCTCAGAGAATCAAGCTGAGACTTATAATAATGTTACCAAGTTTCTATAAGTGACAGAATCCTGGAAAACATACCAGATCTGTGTTGCATTCAGGGACAGGGGAGAAAAAAATCAAAGCAACAGATACAAAGTAACATCTACATTTCCTGTCTCCATCTGTGAAGGAAAAACTCCGAAAAGTGCAAGTTTTTTTAAAAAGTGGTTTGTTTTTTGTAGTTTTCTTTACATTTAAAGATTATTTCTGTGCTTTGTTTGTCTGTTTTCAGGAACTGACCAAATAAAAGTAGATCTGGACATCAGGATAGCAGACCTTTTATACAAAAATTAAATAAATTGCTACATAGGTGAAAATGAGCATTCAGATGCTGAGTGACATAAAACACAGAAAATTCATCACTAATGGAGTTTTAAAATACCAGATGATCTCAGATATCAAAACCCAGACTAAGAAGTGGGTTTAGAACTACTTTTACATTCAGGATAATGCAATGAGTTTCTGGTTATTCCTTTAACCCATATGAAATGCTCTTTTCTAAGAGCTCAAGCTAGCTCTTGCCTCAAATAAGTAGAATTCCAACTTTATATTGGATGTGTCATTTCTGTTGTAAGTACCATACTAATAAAATTAAGGAATTTCAACTGTCATTTTCAGTTTGTTGTTTTTTGGGTTTTTCTTTTTCTGTGTGTGTTCAAATAAATGCTAGTAGGGTTTTTCCAACAGATTGTTTAAAATAAAATGTGTTCCTGCAGACTACTGTGTCAGCTTGAAAATCAGTAAGCCAGTGAAATAAAATCAGCACACAAAGACTAAAATGTGTTAAAGGAAAAGAAAAAGGACAAGCAATAACAATTGTATTAATTCTTCATTTTATGATCTAATGTAACTCACAAAAGGCTTCTTCAATGCTGATGTAACACAGATTAAAGCAAATAGAAGCAAACGAAAATGTCAAACTTAATAGAGGTGGCTAGATAAGCTTTAAAAATGTCACTGGCTTCTCTTTACACTCCATTCCACACGTAAGCATCTTTTGCTTCCTCTGAAGAGTTTGAACAATTTTGCTGCTATTCAGCTCTCATAGTGCCTGCATCTCTCCTGTTATTTTTATTCATCAATTACTTTAATACTTTACACTTACTTTCATCAAGCTACTAGCTAATTGTTCCTTTCTTTTAATTCTAGTTCCAATTTTCTCTACAAACTCATCTCATCCTGTTGAGTTTGTCTTCCTTTTTCCTTTACCACTAACCTCCAAAAATTAATATGCTGCATCTCAACTGATTTGTTAAAAAAAAAAAAAAAGATTTTCACAAAATCCTTTAAGGCACCAATGTCTCCTCCATGTTTTCTCTAAAGCTTCAGAAACACCCACCAGTCACAGACCCCCCCCTACCCAAACACTTCCAAAGAGTTCATCATGACTCTTTTCCTTCCCCCACTCTATTCTTCATTTCCATCTGTAAATAATGAAAGCTGGATTTATGCAATACATTTTCATGTTGGTGAATAAACATCCTTAGAAGCAAGCTCGCTTCCCATAGTAATTTTGTAGAAACATAGGACTGATCATAACTAATAACATACTTTTAAATACATTAAATGATGTCTCCTACTGAGAATGTATTCACCAAGCCAGGTTTGTTAACATTTCTCCCAAACATAAGATACTTTCATTAGACCAGACAGGCTGATATTTTAATTGTTAACAATGAAAGTGCTTTGTGCTAGAGAACTTGCTATCTTATTTATCTCGCAACTGCATAGATCACATTAGCTCTATGGAAATATCAGACTTTGAAAGTATGAAAAGCAGCACATGTTAAATGTGTGCATTCAAAGCATATTAGAAACATGAGGTTTCATTTACATGTTACCAAACTAATGTTCCAAACCTCAGCTTTTCTCCTTGCCTGTGTTAAGGACTAATGCCACAAAAACAGACATCTAATTACACACACAATAGTGTAGTTTTAAGAAGTGGACTTTATATTTCTTACAATTGTCTTACATTAGAAATCAAAAGTGTTCTTAAAGGAGTATCTATACGACTTCAATGTAATAAGGCAACAATTATTTTTAAAGCTGAAGGACACCTGCATCTGTGCAGATGAGCAGAACAACACTCCTTCTAATGCTCTGAACTAGGACCATTATTCCGTATTCTGTTAACATTTGCAATGTCAAAGTTGCACTATTGTTACATCTTTTTCCCCACTAACAAAAAAAGGTTTCTCCTAGATTTAGAATAACTGTGATGTTTTCAGTCTGCTAAATCTCTGAAAAACTCTCAGGGTCTCCATTCCTGAATACTTGCCTGTTGCCTGATCAGCAAAATCTGATCCCAGTTAAGGTATTCACACCTCTTCTCCCTCTTTCCAATACATGTCCTGGGAGTCTTTAATTCTTCAAATTCATCTTTTTTCATTAAATAAAGTGAAGAGTCACAACTGCAGGTGCTGTACTATTGAGAGTCACTGCTGTGCCAACAGTTTCAATTTTAAACCTATTTTTCCCCATTGATGACATTAGAACTTCACCCACGGCTGTACCAGCTTATAACTTTCACTTTTAATTAAAGAAATTAAATTGGCAACATGAAACACTTTGCTTTCACATTAGCTTTGTTAATAAAAAGTGAGAGTTAAAAGCAGCATAGCTGAGGGTAAAACCCTATTTTGAGCTACGACCACAGTGAGGAAGATTGCAAGAGTACAGGTCTAAAAGAAGATTCATTTTAAAATCATGAAAATTGAAGTAGCAAATTTTTTAAAATTGAGAAAATTATCTCAACACAATAATTCACTCTTCGCTCTCCTCTCATCAGAATTGAGTTACAAGTTTCCGTTCAGAAAGTGCTTCATCTCACAAAAAGCTGCATTACATCCACTGTAGTCTCAGAAGAGAAGGAAAGGATTAAATTGGCATGACGACTGAACTCATCTCTCACTCAGAGAGATAGGCCCTTCAAGTAATGACAGGAGGTGCACGTGATAGCGCTGTGTAAGGAAATCTGCACGGCCAAATTTCAACGATTTCTCTCCAATAAAAAAGCACCTACAAGGTAAAAAAAGTACCTTCAACCTACTGCACTATCAAAATCTCCCATCATCCATAAATGCTGCTTAACTGTGCAAACACCACCAAGCAATTTTTCAATTTACTTACTGATACCATTCATAGAGTAGAGGCCACATTCCTATGATAGCTG